TTGCTTTGAATTATTTATTTTCTTTTAATTTTTTCTTTTTTTCTTTTTTTTCTTTTAGCTCAGATTAATTATAATCTTTCTGTTACTCCATTAGTTTCCAAATTTGAATAATTAGTTTCCACCAACTGGTACCAATGCAACCGTCTAATTACTTATTAATTTCTTTTATGATAATTCTTTTTGCTATTAAAGTTTGTAACAAAATTCTAATTACTTATTTATGTTCTTTTATGATAATTCTTTTTATTTTTAATGTTTTGAACAGAATTCTAATTACTTATTTATTTTCTTTTATGATAATTCTTTTTGCTATTAAAGTTTGTAACAAAATTCAAATTACTTATTTTTTTATGATAATTCTTTTTTGCTTTTAATGTTTTGAATAGAATTCTAATTACTTATTTATTTTATTTTATGATAATTCTTTTTGCTTTTACTGTTTTGAACAGAATTCTAATTACTTTTTTTATGATAATTCTTTTTGCTATTAAAGTTTGTAACAAAATTCTATATAATTTTAGTTTCAATAATACTAGAGGTTTATAAAATCTTTTTAGTTGATTCCTTCAGTACCAGTTCTAAGGCTGTTACAAAGGCATTTTATTTGGTACAGAAGGCTGGTGCCCACACGAGCACCTTTTAGTACCGGTTCGTGGCATGAATCGGTAAAAGAGTTTTTTAGTTGATTCTTTCTGCAGCTGTTTTTTAGTCCCAGCTCACCAAGCGAGAGGCACTCATAGCGGTTTATAAGCCCCGAGTGCAGAGATGATGCAGAAGAGGCTCAATGCTAACCTGCACGTTGCTTAGCTTTAAGCCTTGAGGAATAGGGTAGACTGCACGGAGCTATGTGCAGTGCAGTTTACACTATTTCGAAAGGCTTGAAGCTAATTAACGAGCATTGCGCCTCTTTTTTATTTTTAATGACTTATTACAACTCAGAAATAAATAGAAAAAAATAAATATAGCAGAAAAGAAAAAAAACTATATAAAAAACTACTTAGAAATAAATAGAAGAAAAATTGTTGTGATTAACTTTACTAAAAAAATGAGCATAGATGCGCTTATAGAGAGAATTCAACTTAAATTCATAAGAAATTTCTACTAACTTCAGAGAAATTCAATATGAATTTAGGTTAAATTCCCTGTATAAGGGCATCTATTTTCACTTTGAGAGAAGCTCAACAAAGCAGAGAGGGAGGAGCTTATAAACGGGTGTGAGCGCCCTTCGGTTGGCGAGGTGGGACTAAATTCTGACCGCAACGAGGACCAACCCTTTAGTCCCGGTTGGTGGCACGAACCGGGACTAATGGGCTGCCTTTGGTCCCGGTTCAAGCCGCCAACCGGGACCAATGGTGGTGGGCCAGGAGCGAGGCCCATTGGTCCCGGTTCATCCCATCAAACGGGACCAAAAGGTCCAGACGAACCGGGACCAATGGCCCACGTGGCCCGGTCGGCCCCCGGGGCTTACGGACCGGGTCCAATGCCACCATTGGTCCCGGTTCTGGACTGAATCGAGACTAATGGGCTGACCCGGCCTGGACCATTGCCCCTTTTTCTACTAGTGATGTTAGGCCCGCTTCTAAACAAACCGTTAGTTGACTGTTTGTTTGACCGTTAACTTACATTTAGGTCCCACATGTAAGTGCTCTCCCTCTCTCTTATCTTTCTTCTCTCCCTCTTCTTCCCTATCACTCTCCCGAGCCATTACCGGGCACCACCACGGCCTACCGCAGCCAGCACCACGCCCGACGTAGCCACGGCCACCGCCACTAGGGCCGGCCACCACCACGCCATGGAGACGTAGAAGATGGAAAGAGGGCGGAGGAAGGGTGGCTCAGAGGTCAGAGCGGCTCGCTGGTGATCGGAGTCGAGCTCGTACTCCATGGCAGAACCCACGCCACCGTCGCCTGCTTTGCTCCGCGCAGCCGCAGAGAGGAGGAGGAGCTCCGCGCTGCCGGACGCCACCAGGACGCGCCTAACTTAGCTCCACGCCGCCGGACAGCTCCGCGCCAGCAGGACGCGGCTCTGCTTAGGTCCTCCCAGCAGAGAGGAGGAGGAGCTCCGCGCCGCCGGACAGCTTGAGCACGGGCGGGGAGGAGCCAGGGAGCACGGCCGGTTCCAGCCCGCCGCCGCTGCTGATTCTCGCCGGCCACGACTGTCACGGCAAGCAGCCATCTACTCCGGGCGTGGTGCTGGCCGGCCCTAGCGACGAGCTCGCCGGCGTGGTGTTGGTCGGCTCCGGCGAGGACCCGATTGCTTATTTTTTATTTTTCAGGGACCCGATTGCTTTTTTTTTCAGGAGCCTGATTTGTTGTTAGTTTTTATTGTAGGGACCCGATTGCATGTCAAAAATATTTGGGCCCCACCTGTCATAACTTGTCAATGGTCAGTCAACCTAACGATGAACCTGATGGGTGGACCCGAGCTGTCATAATAACGCTTAAAGTTAACCAACATAGTCATGTTGGTGCGACATAGTAGTTTTTTGGAGTAGCGAACCAATTTTGTGGTAGTTTTTTGAAAGATTAAAAAATCTTTAGTTTTTTTGTAGACATAGTGTGGTAGTTTTTTGCTATATACTCGGACGACATGGGTGGAGACAAGGTGGACCTTATGGTTTGGGGCGCGGAGTGGTTGTCAGCGCCGGATAAGAAGGGAGTGTGTGTTGGTGCGTGAATGAGGCTAGATGGGTTGTCAGGCCAGTATCAACAAAACGAAGACGGCAATGTGCGATTTGGGTGGGATCGTGTGTGTGTGTGCGTGGGCTTGTAAGATCAAGGAGGAAGAAGAAGAAATAGGGTGCTCCAAAATCAGCCGATGCTTTAGTAATTTCATGCAACTTACGTATAGTCACACGCCCCCAAATGAGGGGATACATTCCACGTTGGTTGCCAAAGTGCACCAATGCAATTTTTTTTTCATGATATAGTTTACATTGACCAATATCTATATACCACCATTTTGTTATTGTGTTGAACCAAGACACATGTATCTATTTTTTCACTAGTCTGTGACAACACAAGGACATTCAGCTAGTCAGTCTCTGAATCAAAATATAATACATTATTTGATATTATCATAGTGTCAAAAAAATCTTATATTTTCCCTAAAAAAGTCATATATTTTTATAGAGAGAGAGTAGAAAATAGAACCATAACACCGAAATATTATTATTTTTGAAAGAAATAACGTCAAAGAGATGCCATTAGCTCTTTTTTTAGGTGCTTTTTTTGAGTATTTTTTGTGAGGTGTAAGCTTCCGTTTGGGAATAGTATGAACAAAATTTTATTCACGAATTCAAAAAATGTTCCTTTTTTCCAATTTTTTTTCACAAATTGGAAAAAAAAGCTCGAAGAGTTTCAAATAATGATCGTGCTTTTAAAATTTATTTGGAATTTCAAAAATATTCCTATTTTCATTTTTCTACACAAATACAAAAAAAATGTTCGGATAAATTCAAAAACAATTGGTTACAATTTTTTTATGTTTTTTTTGAAATCCAAATTTGTTGGTGTTTAAAAAAAAATCATGTTGTAGTTCATGAAGAATGAAAAAGAAACAAAAAGCGAACTAAGAAAAGAAAAAGAAAAAAGTGAGAAAATTATCAGTTCCCTACAATAACCAATCGCTGAGGGATAGTTGTTGTAGTCCGCGTTTCCTACTTAGCCACTAAAGCTTATTGGCTCATGTGGCTAGTGACGAGCGGTCAACAAGAGGAGTTACAGGGTTTGATCCCTCGCACTGCTATTTCTTTTTGGTGAATGTTTTGAAAAAAAATTGGGAATTTAAATTTTTACGGTTTTCATTTTTTCTCTCAGAAACTAAAGAAATGGTCACGTGTTTGAAAAATATTCCGTAAATTTATATATTGTTCCCGCTTTTGCAAAATTGATAAATGTTGGCATTATCAAATCATGTTCTCAAAATTCAGAAAATGTTCAGGAATTTCAAAAATTGTTCCTATTTAAAAAATTACAAGTTTCAAAATTTGTTCGAGTCGTTCAAAAAATTGTCAGATTTTCAATCATTGCTTACTTTTAAAAGATTTGTTCACAATTTCCTAGAAATATTCGAAAAAAGAACCATAACACCAAAGTATTATTATTTTTCAAAGAGATGCCATTAGCTCCCTGGTGGAACACCACGGCCGGCGGCCGCGAACCCTCGTCATTTCTCTCCCACTTGCGCCGATTTCACCGCACCACCGTAAAAAAGGGTCGACGGCAAGTTAAAAAAAAGGTCGACGGCTAACGGCACGGCGGCGCCATTCGACCGGGTTCCATGGCGGCGCGGTGGCCCCGATCGCCGGAGGAGCGTGCCTAGGCCAGAGGCTGCGCGCTGCCCCATCGAACGGCGCTAGCCGCATCGCGCGCATGACACAAGGCGGCGGAACGACGAGGCGACATTAGGAGGCGACGACGTGCGCGGTGCGGAGGCCGCGCATCGTGATCGTCCAGCGCAGCGCCTCTGTTCTTTCCGCACGCCGTCCGGGGAGACGGTGGTGTGGCGCCATCAGCATATTCGCACGACGGTGGGGCCGTGCGGACCCCGACGGGTCGGAGATCTCGAGCGGGGTAATCAAGGTAGGCATCCCGAGGCCAAGCATTTCGGGATTTTCATTTTAGGGCTCGCAATTGGGGAGAAATCTTAGGATTAGCGTTTCATTATTTTTGGGGGAATTTGACATTAGGGTTCCTGAAAAATATCTGCAATTCCCCTCTGCTCTATGTTAACCGAGCCCCAAAGGTGCTAACTGAATCGTATCATGACATAGTTGCACCGACCGAAAAGATCAAGCATGAGCGCGATTAGTGAACAGAGCAACATAATTCTTCCTGAGCCCAAATGTAGCCAGGCCTTAACTGAATCTTATGGTTAGCATAGTAGTAGCTTTCACAGCCTGTTTGGGGAGACCAAATTACAAGAGTAGCACAAGGGAAAAGCAACAGGCGAAACTACCATATAAAAAGGGAAATTTAACCAGAACCCAAACTAAGCAACTACATTATCTTCAGATTTGGCTGTCCTGCAATGGCTTGAAGTAATCTTGGCACCGGAGGTGTCTCAACTTCAGACAGACACTCAAGAAACTGTACCACCTCACTCATTGTGGGTCGATCAAACTCATCATCTTGAATACACCAGCATGCTACTTTGCAAACTCTTTCAACCTCCTCCAGATTTGCTTCACCTAGCAATTTTGCATCCACCAGGCTTGCAACGTCTCCATCAACAAGACTGCGTGCAACTCGCACCGGGAAATATCCTTCATGAGCGCCATCTCGGGAGGATGATTGCTTACTCGACTTCCTGCTGCCCGATACAATCTCTAACAGAACCATCCCATAGCTGTAAACATCAACTTTTGATGTGATGGAAGTTCTGCTGATCCATTCAGGAGCAAGGTACCCAATGGTTCCCCTCATTGTGGTAACAACCTGACTGAAATCCCTTCCCAAAAGTTTGGCCATTCCAAAGTCCGCAACTTTAGGGGTGAAAGACCCATCCAGAAGTATGTTCTCTGGCTTGATATCACAGTGTATAATGCAGTCCCGGCAACTTGAATGCAGGTAGGCTAGTACTCTAGCAACCCCAAGAGCTATTTTGTACTTGGTAGTCCAATCCAACACCATGACATTGCTTTGGAAGAGATGGTGATCCAGGGAGCCATTGGGCATGTACTCGTACACGATTAACCTCCTGTCACCTTGGCAGCAAAAGCCAATCAGTTTAACCAAGTTGACATGCTGGACGACTCCAGTTGAGCTCACCTCAGCCCTGAATTGCTTCTCTCCTTGGCGGACTCCATCAAGCCTTTTCACTGCTATGGCTGTCGAGTCACTCAGCGAACCCTTGAATACTGAACCAAAACTGCCGGCCCCCAACTTCTCTGAGAACTTTTTTGTTGCAGACTGTAAATCGGCATATCGAAATGCAATTATCCCCATGCCACCCTGAGCATCATCACCATACTGCTTATTTTTTCTCATCCAAATCATCAGCAGAAAGATCAAACCCAAAGCGGCAGTGCTTGCACCAACAACAGCACCAATGATCAGTCCCCTTCTATTGGTTTTACTGCTTGGCACTTCTTTTGCAGCGAGGCGAAGGTGAAGAACACTGTTACCTTGTTGCCGAACATTGAGCAGCTTGTCGTGCCAAACGGAGCAGGCACCTTGATCATAGGAGTATGCAGTGCAGGAGCAGCTTCCCAGGCATGCAAATGAGCATTCATCTGCAGTAGTGGCCGTCGCAACGTTCCTGGCATCAGCGGGAAGTTGGACAGAAGTCATAGGGTGGAACTTATCTGTCTCGCCGCCGGCTCTACTGTTGTTGCTGTTGCAGTAGAGTGGAGTATTTCTTGTGCATCCAGCCGATCGATCATCAAGCTCCCAGTCTTGAGGTGACCGTATGGAGTAGCCCTTCATGCAGCTGCAGGAGGGGGACGGGACATCGCTGCAGACCGTGAAAGGGCCACAGGTAGCATGGACATCGCACTGAGATTTCGGCACCGTGTAGACGGCTTGCTAATCTTGTGATGCCCCCTCGAACCACACGAGCACCTTCATTTGACCGGAGACTTCCATTATGCCGCGTGACAACACTGTCGGATCCTCAATCGCATACTGGACATACTGCTCTTCTTTGTTGCTGGTGAACTGAAGCGAGAGCCATTTCTGACCCACGCTCTCGGGGATGTTGCTGAAGTATTGGCCGCCCCACTCCCCGCTGGACCAATATTGCTTGGACGAGTTGAACATAGAAACAATGGAAGTATCACCATTGTGGCCAGATAACTCGTACGAGTACATGCCGGGAGTCTGGTCAACGGCGTTCTTCCTGGAGACGAGACGGCGGATCAGGCCGGTGGATCTTCCCTGGAGAACAGTGTCGGTTGGGTGATCGTAGCTCTGCCAGAAAACATTGGACGAATTGGGCGTGCCGCCGACGCTGCGGAGGACATGGTTTCCGTTGTCGAGGAGGGCGGCGACGGTGGTGTTGGCGGTGGTGTTGGCCCTGGTGGACCAGACCGTGGTGGCCAGGTGGTGGAGGGCGAGGTTGCCGTCGCGGGAGAGCACGAGCCTGCACGCCGCGATGGGGCTCTCGGCGTTGGCGACCCACACGGGGGTGAACTTGGGGACCGTGTGGAACCAGATCCCGAGGTACCACTTGGGGGTGCCGTCGGAGAAGTTGCTCCCGGTCTGGAAGAAGCCGAGCGCGAACCTGCCGTTGAGGGACACCAGCTTGTCGCGGCCGGCGAGCTCTTGGCTGGGCGAGAGGGTGTCCGTGGCGGCGTGGCATTGAGGGAGGGTGGGCAGGTGGAGGGTGATGACTGATGAGCAGGAGAAGCCCGAAGACCGCCGGAGACATGGCTGGATGCATGGAGGAAGAAGACGAATAGTGGGAAGGAGGCACAGTGGGCGTGTCCTTTTTATAGAACCACTAGAACCCCAACATGGTGATCAAATGATTCGTTTCTCATACACATACACTGGATGAGAAACATAGTGGCCAACTGGCTTATGGAAAAGGCTGGCACAGTGGGTCTTGGTCAACGGCTGGTAGCAGCCGTTGGGTCCTCTCCTGCATATGTACATACCTAGTGGCGCCAGTGGATCATAACAAGACACTTCTATCAATCAATCAATCAAAAGATTATTTGAACTACTACTTTGTGTTCTTAAATGTATTCGTCAGGCTAATCGGTGACTATCCTCCTGTTTAGGTACACACACATGCATGCTGTTGATGAATCTGTCTCGACCTGTCAACGATTTTTTACTTATTACTGTTGGTTGGTCGTCGATGGTATGGGCAGCATCAGTGATGGATGCCCTTTTTTTTGCCTCAAATATGTGTAGCGAACAAAGTATGTGTAGCTTATCGCGAACAGGCAAGAGTAAAGCTAGTCGAGTCATGCCATCGGCCGCGTTCGCTGGAAAGAGCATAGTGACCAACTGGGACCGAGTGAGACTACTGACCCGTGGGGTCTGCAACCTCACGCGTTTCATCACACATATAAATCTTGTTCACACCCATTTCCCGCTAGCTACACCGCAACTAACATGAAGCACTTATAATTACATTTTTCTTACTCTTTAGTGTATTTTATGTTCATAATAATTCTTATATGACCACCAAGAGAACATACATGGAATCATGATGTTCACATGCGAGCTCTTGTGGTACATGAACCACAAACAGAATGAATACCGAGATCTTGTACGGTTCATGAACCACAAAACGAATGAATACCGTACTGACATGCAAGCTCACACCTTTTAAAGGATGACATCCAGGTACTATATATATGCTTCTAGGAAGTTGCTTGAAAACAAGACTACATGTAGATCAAGAGTGACAATCAGCGCTAATGTGTTATGCTTGGCTTGCATTCGTTTCCACCCCCCATTCAATATGTCAATGAGCTCTGAGATACTGGAGGAAAACCAAGGAAGTGGAAGGCCCTTCATTCACTTTATTTCTCGGTGGTTGTGCCATGCTAGCTTATTCACGTAGTGTGGTGCTACTTGTAATTCCTTTTTCAACATAGCGGGTGACCTTCTTGATGGAAGAATTGTACAATCCGGAAGGAGAGTCTGTGCATAGCATGCGGCCCCTCGGTGTTAGCTCTAGCATTAGGAGATCACGAAGGCAGCGACGAGAGAGGTCGCCGTTATCTCATTTCTCCAATCACTTGTATTTAAATGTATACAGAAGTGTCTATGAAACACAAGTAAAACACTCAATTCTATGAATGTTGATTTAATTTGACACTCATCCTCAAACATTATTTGCGACAGAATACTTATTTGGATTAAAATTTCAGTTTTCACAAAATGATACTCTGACTCTGTGTGCTTGTTAGCAGCTCTCACGATTTGAGTGAAAAACACATTTTTGTGTGGGCAATGCAAACATGGTTGGGTTGGCTGCCCAGTCGAGAATTCAGAACTGCCTGGTACCTAGGAAGGATTCTCGCCCGCCTGTCGGTCACTCGTGCAGGCCGCCATGGTGCCACAGCAATACGGGCACACGGCGGGTAGTAGGTGAGGACATGGTTGCCAAGACTGGCATGCCACATTCCCACCTTCAATGTCAGGCTACGAGGACGAGTCGGCATGAGATGGGGCTTCGGGTGTCCCAGGGGCTTGGGCACGAGATGTCATCCCACAAACTTGAGTACTACTAGCACACATGCCCGTGCGTTGCAACGGGAAAGAAAATTGATTTTTCCACCAAAACACCCATCAACGCAACACGGTGGGGCAGGGAAGCGCATGTCGAGGTATAAAAGAAATAGATATCATGTTTTAATGTCTATTTCTGTTGTGCATGCATGCGTGGATATTGAATTAATATTTTTTGAATATTCAAATGCATTTTTTGCATTATTTGGACTTGGTCCAAACACAAGCATTTCACGTAGAATGTATTCTCTAAAAAATACACACACATCTCGTATCACACTCCAAGCTCATGCAACATCTTCACCTATTTAAGCTTGTTGTTCTTTCCATAATTATTATTATTATACTTGTTTTATTTTATTTTCCACTGCATCATGTCATGATGCTTTAGTTTGTAATGAGGTTGTTCAAACCCTCAACTTGAACTAAAAATTGCATGGACCTTTGATCTATTTAAATTGAGGGAATTCACATGATGGTTCTCTTAGCCTCCCAATATTATTAGGGAGCCAAACTAAATTACTCCATTATATGGAAATTACCCATAAACACACTTGCAATTTAAATCCCTTTTGTTTCTAGATATTTTTTAATCCTGGCCTATTCTCCAATTCAAGTTGTGGAGTTTTGATATATGTGAGAGTAGCCACATGCAAATTTTTGGCTCAATCAAAAATTATTTGAGGGGAATCTGTTCCTCTATTTTTCTTTCTGGAAAATAGAAATCTGTTTAGCACTGCGCGGCGGGTCGGCCCTTTTGGGCGCAGCAGCAACAACCTCCCCAATAGCCCAAGTAGTGCCAGCCGGCCCTAATTGGCCAAACTGGCCAAACCGGCCCAGCTGCAGCCGCCCCCGCTAACCTAGGCGCTAGGGGAGAGCGTCTGCTCGATCCCCAGTCACTCCCTCCGTTTGATCCCCACGTCGCCGCCGAGAAGGCACGTCGCCCGCTACAGTGAGCCGCCGCTGCTTCCTCGTCAAGCTCCCTTCCTTCCCCTCCTCCTGGGTCGTTTCCCTCTCCTTCTCCTTACATGGCCTCTCTTCCCTTACGCCCTTATTTTCCTCTGCACCTCTCCTCCGGAGACCAGCGACTCCACCCCTTTCCTTCAATCCCTCTTTATCTGCCTCGCCACGCCAGCCGACAACATGGGAAGGGAAGCAGTAGCCCGGTGATGCAATCGGTTGTGCCACTGTTGTTGCCTTTACCGATTTCCGAGGCTTCTTCCTCTATTGAGTTAATTTCTTTAGTTTCTTCCTTCTAAGTAATTTCTTTGTTCCTTTCCGAATTCCAGGCTTGTTGATTCTCTATGTCGTACGTATATAAACTGGTCAGAATATATGTGAAAGAGCAAGGTGGGATTATTTTAATCCTAACCAGGCTAGTACAATAGATTGCTACGTATAAGTGATGTGTTACCGCACATCCTCCTTCGACGATCCTCTACTCCTGGACCAGTGCTGCCGCCTTCATGATCCTCTTCCTGTGCAGCGTCGGAGCCTCCCTGATCCCGATTCATATAGCAAAAATTAGTGTGGCAGATTCGTCATAGTACATAGGCAAACATCTAGACTGGGCATCCTAGGATCAAAGTGGGGTTCTGAGCAGTCAAGGAGGACATGGCACCTGAGTAGTGTAGGACTAAGTTGAGGAGTTGCGGGTATGAGTGATGGATGTGGATGCCGGACGTTGTTGTCGCTGTTGGGCACCGCCGCTGTGACCTTTGGGACCGCATCTCTCCGTGACACCATATTTTCGTCAGTGTCAGAGGCCGCCACCATGGGCGTGTCGTGGTACCTCGGACGGAGCAAGTGGTGTCGACTGTTGGGCGCCGCCGCTACAGACGCGGACTGAGCGGGTACTTTCTGGTGTACGTATACGACGCGATTCGTCGGCCCGTACTTTCGGATGAAAATACACACATACGTATTGACTGGAGATCCTACATGCCAAGCTAGCTAGAGCTAGCTAGATGGATTCATGGGCAAGCTTTTTTTAGCAACGATTCCTGGGCTAGCTAGGACATGCACGCTCGTAACGCGAACCTTTTTTTTATAATGAGCGTTTGATTGGACTGAACATTTTCTCAAATCTTGGAGTAGGCAGGGTGCAGCGGCCGCTACAGTATCGAATAATCCCACCTCGTAGAAACCAGGCAGGAGGCCACGTACGGATGACGCATCACGAACAAAAACTAAAGAAAAAACGTAACGTAGGACCAACTAAGCGGGACGAAACCAAG